TTGATGCTGCCTAAGTCATGATCTTGCCGATCTCCCCACCTTGCCAGATTTTGGTCTCCTTTGTTAAATCTATATCTTTGACCCCCTCTACCTCTCATAAATCTGTCCATGCTGAAATTTGAGTTCTGGGCATCATCATTGATTGCATCTTCATCATTGATTGCATCTTCATCATTGTCATCAAGATCATGCTTATACAAATTTGGACTTCCATTCTGTATTTGGTATAACTTGGCAATGGCTGCATCTTGCTTCTCCATTTTGTCTTTAATTTCACCAAACATGATGTCTAGCCTCTGAAATTATTGTTGCATTGCTTTGAGCATGAAGGAATCATCCACTTGGTGTTTCTGTCATCACCGCTTGACATGATTGAAACCTGCAAGGAATGTTAGAAACAGAAAATAAAAGGACCTCACAACACTCCCTTACGTGTTTCACTCCACTCTCTCACAGAATGGCACTAAACACTCGTATTTTGCACACTATAGAACTTGGCTTTTCTCTCAAATGTTGCTCACACCTCTTGCCTTTTCCCCTCACTCAACTTTCCTCTTTCAGTTCGTTATTGAACTAACAAGCTCAATTCAAGTTATTTTGCAGCAATCTAACTCCAACAAATCTGCAACAAGAGTTGAAAGAAACGAAAGGACACGAAGGAACCAACAAGAAAAGCAATAAGAGAAACAAACTGGAATGAATTAAAAGAAAAAAAAATGGAAATTTGATTGAAACACAATGCAGGAAAGACAAATCAGTTCTAACACTTCCTACTAGGAATTGACTTGACTATTCCTTAATGTAGCAGGATTCCTAGCGTAGGAAGGAATAAACAAAATTGCTATCTCCTTGTTTGAATAGAATTCAAAGAAAAATTTCCAACTCCTTATTGTAGTGGGATTTCTATTCCTTAATGTAGTAGGATTCCTAACTTAGGAAGGAATAAACAAAATTGCAATTTCCTTGTTTCAACAGAGTTCAAAGAAAATTTCCAACTCCTTATTGTAGTAGAATTCCTTCTTTCAACTTTTTACTGGAGTAGGATTCCTTCTTCTTTAAGGATTTGGCCAC